CCTCTTGGCAGCTTTCCAGAACTCTGCAGGCACCTCTGCTGCCTCTGTGGGGCTCTCCTCAGGTCACTGAATGTCTCTGTTGGTTGCTGAAGGGCTTAGTCAGTCACTGCTGGTTTCCGCCAGTCTCTGAGAAGAGTCATGGATCACAGTATGGAAATTCCTCAAATAATTAAAATATAATATCCTATTTTTATATTTATTTTATATTAGGGTATATTTAGGATACTATCATACCCTATATATCTGGGTATATATCTGAAGGAAAAAAATCTATCTTGAAGTGACATTTTCACTCCCATGTTCACTGCAGCAGTATTCCCAATAGTTAAGATATGGAAACAACATAAGTGTCTGTCGGTGGATGAATGGAGAAGAAAAATGTGAAATATATATGTATATATACATGGAATATTGTACATATTAAATATATTTGCAACATTCCATATTATATATGAAATATATATGTGATATGGGATATATAGGTAATGTTTCACATACATTCCATATATAATATATAACATTCCATATATAATATGTAACATTCCATATACACATACACAATGGAATACTATTCAGCCATAAAAAGAAGCAAATTGTGCTATGTGTTACAATGAGGATGAACCTGAGGTTTATGCTAAGTGAAATAAGACAGAGAAAAACAAATACTGTATGATCACACCTATATATGGAATCCAAAAAGTCAAACTCATAGAAAGTAGTAGAATGATGGTTTCCCAGGGGCTGAGGGGTGGGAGAAATGGGAAGCAATTGGTCAAACTCTATAAACTTTAAGTTATAAGATACATAAGTTCTTGAGATCTAATGTACATGGTGATTTTCATTAACAACACTGTACTGTGTACTTCAAATCAGATTTTAAAAGAGATCTTAAATGTACTCATTCCAACACACACTCACACAAACACACAAAGGTAAATATGTAAGGTGATGGATGTGTTAACTAATTTGAATTTGGTAATCCTTTTACAACACATACATATATTGAATTAAAAATAGAAAAGAAAAGGCACGGAGGAAGCTTTAAAACATACTGCTTAGTGAAAGAAGCCGGTCCAAAAGGAAACATCATGCCAACTATATGATCTTTTGGAAAAGGCAAAACTACTGAAACACGATGTAAAAATCAGTGGTTGCCAGAGACTATGTCAATAACAGGGATAATTGTGATCAGGAATAGAGGGAGTATGGGAACTTCCTCTACTACCTTCTCCATAAAATTAGGAGTGACAGTTGAAATAAGACCTAGACTGTTGTAATTTATGGACATCTAATAGATAAAGAATATAATGCTATTTAACATTACACATGTACCATTAAAACCAGTGATTCCCTCAGATCATATTTTATTTTCACAAAATTTATTCGATTTGAATTTGAAGTCTCATCAGGGTTTTGTTCGAGTGATGAAGGCAGAGTAGGATGGCCATAGGAAAACAAAGGTAGAAATAATTGTTAATGCCAATCAAAGCTGTACCAAGCTGAGTTTTTAACCAAAGAGACAGGCTACTATATTTTTTGTTACATATGTCTCTCACCTTTTTCATTCTCCACATCTCTGTGAAACACCTCTTTGCTTCATGTTAATTCTCACATAGTACTTGGAATCTTTCAACTTAACCTGGGCATAAGCAGCTGGAAGAGCCCAAGGAGCCAAAGACATTCCCAAACCCAGGAATAAAAAATCATGTCAATAATTTTTATTTTGAATTTTATAAGGCTGGCATTCATGCACCTGTGATAAGAAATTAAAATACAGTAAAACGTTCTTTGTAAATTATGGTTTTCATCCTAAAATGGTGTGCTAGTTAGCTCTGTTACTTTAACTGTGGGAGATAAATCAATAAAAGAAAAGGTTGGTTTTGGTTCATAGGTTAGAAGTTTCAGTCCATAGTTGGTTGGTCCAGTAGGTTTGGGGTCTACGGTGAGTCAGCACATCATGGCAGGAACTTGAGGTTAAAAAAAAGAACCTGCTCACCATATAGGTGGCTGGGAAAGGAGAGAGGAAAGAGCCAGGGTCCCAGGGTCCCTTTTACAGGTACACACCCAGTGATCTAAATTCCTCCAACTGGGCTCCACCTTTTGAAGGCTCCACCACCTCCCAGTAGCACCAGGAGCTGAGGATCAAGCCTTTCACACGGACCTATGGGAAACATCTCAGATCCAAACTATAGTAGATGTAGGTTACAGTAAGGGGATGAAGTTTTTCAACTTTCCCTTTGCATAAATCACAGACTCATAAAAACAAGACTGAGAAAGTATAGAACTCAAGTCTTAGGATATCTAATCCAGTGCTCTTTTCATAAAAGTATGAGATCTCTACATGATCTAAATGCCTTACAGGTATCCTATCCTGACAGGTGGGAGTGAGTGTGGCCTGTACAGGTGACTCCACAATTGGAACTTGGGAGCCTGACTCTACTGGGCCTGCAAAAACTGTTATGTGGGCTCCACTCTTTTAATAGGTATGTTTTTAAGCTATAAAGGTAACATATGAACATTGTAGAAAACTTGGAAGAAGAAAACTTACTTCCCAAACAACGGTTTAACCCCCCCCTTTAATATGACACCATTTACTCCCCCCCAAAATCCTATGAGGTCCAGGATAGATCCATCATTATCCAAAGAAGAAACTGAGAGGTAGGAAGGGCTACACAACTTCTCTGAGGTCCCACAGTGTTGCCAGCTTTCCATCACTGTAATAAAATACCCGAGACAATCAACTTAAAAGAAGAAAAGGTTTATTTTGCTCACAGTTTCAGTCCCCCCACCCCGCCCCCCAATGCAGGAGCACGGTACCTCCTGGTGGGGAGCTTGAGTAGGAAGCTGCTCACCTCACTACAGCCCAGAAGCCAAACAAGTCAGGAAAGGGGGCGCATATCGCCTTCAAAGGCACACCTCCAGTTACCCAAGTTCTTTCTACGAAGTCTCACCGCTTACAGGGTTTACTACCTCCAAATAGCGCCACCGACTGGGGCCTTGGTGGGACTTTCCAGATCCGAACTGTGGCACACAGCAAGATGGTAGCAGAGACGGGATTTCAAAGTGATTTGTGTGGAGCCCCAGCCCAAATTCTGGAACACTGGATTGCAGCTGCAGTGCCTTGTCACTAGAGACTTGGCCAATGAGCACTTCCAGATACTCACTTTATAATGAACCTTTACACAGTGGCGGTTTTAAGACTTAGATCACGTTCGAGAAGCACGAATGACTTCATACTCCCCTAACAGCTGCAAATTCTTTTACACAATGTAATATACTTCTGGTGGAAACAGGATTTCCATTTAGCCCTCCTCTTAAGTCCTACACTCTCACAACCAACACCACCTTTTCAGTACTGCAACTTTTCCCTCCATTTCTCACCCCAAATTGCTGTCCAGAAAACAGTAAGTACTACATATTTCACATCTTACTTCACAATCACTGGTCCCAAACCTAAGGTAAATAAAGGCCTTGTTACACCAGGTGAATACAAATGTTGGCTAAGTACCTTTCCTCGAAAACCAAACCAGTGGTGGGTATCGAAGTCCGCCTCGCGGGGCTCGCGCAGCAGCAGGGCTGGCGGTCGCGTCCCGTCCCCGTCCCGTCCCCGTCCCGTCCCCGTCCCGGCGCCTGGGCTGGGCGCGCAGCTGCGCTCAGGGCCGGTCCCCGCTGGTGCGGAGCAGCGGACGCGCATCCCAGACGGGAGCGAGGGGTGCAACTCTTGGGGGGAAACGCAGATTCTAGTTCTCATGTCCTATGAGGGTTTCTCTCCCTACTTCTCCACTTACCCTCGTGGCGACGGGAGACCAACGCCGCTGGCCCCACGAGGCCTCCCGGCCCCCACTCAAGGCCCAAACAAGGACAGAATTCAGAAGAAGAAAGGAGGTGAGGAGGGAACCAGCGGGCGCTTCAAACCGCCCGCACCGGCGTTCGGCGGCGCCCGGGGCTGCAGGAGGGGGCGCGGGGTGCGGGCCGGACTCGGGGCTCCGCCTGCTGGGGGCGCTGGGGCCTTGGCGCGTGCGCGGTGCGGCCCAGCCTGGCGGCCGCCGCGATGCCTATTTTAGTCAAAGCCGCTGCGGGCGCTGGGACCTCCCCGGCTGCACAGCCCCAGCACCCGCCGACCCGCCGAGGCTTGAGTGCCGGGCGCCCGTCGAGCAGCTGCGCCCGCGTGCCCGCCGCCGGCGCCCCGAACTTAGCCTGCGCCGGCCGGGCTCGGTGCGGGGGTCGAGCCAGGTAAGGAACGGTAGGCGCAGCGCCGCCGGCTGTCCCTGCGCCCCCAAGCATCGAGCAGGAAGCGAAAGTTGTGTCCCAGCTCTGCCTGCCGGGAGCAACTTTGCGCGCCCGACGGCGGCTGCCAGTGCCCCGCGCCCCTCCGCCCGCCGGCCCTCGCCCTCCCCGGCGCCGCGGCCGCAGACCCGCAGGTGGCGGCTGCCGCAGCTCGGGCAGAAAGCGGGCGCTCTGCTGCGGGCGAGCCCTTCGCGAGCTCAGCCGGTGTCTCGGGCAGACCGTGTCCCCCGCTTCTCCTCGAATGCCGGCCTCGGGGAACACTGGACCTTCTGTGAGGTGCGAGGTGAGCGGGCCCCACGGGAGCGCACGCGGCTGAGGACCGGCAGTCTTTGCCACCCCGCGCGCCCTCGTTCCAGACCGTTTGGGAAACGGGTTGTTGGTCAGACCAGTCCCAGAAAACTGCCTGCTTTAAAGCGTGAATAAGTGCGAAAAGACTCTTAACAACATAATGTCATTTGCCACTCTGAAGATGTGCAAAGATTCGATTAGAATAACTAAATGAATAAGGTCTACTAGCCAGGCTTTAACTCTGCTGTTTATCGTCATCTTTGTAGTTTGGCGAAAGTTTAACATTAGCTTCCCCGTTTAGATAGCCTTGCAAACACCTATTTAAAACTAATGGGCATTTTTGGATTTTACTAGAACAAGTCATTTAAGGAATTAGATTTGGAGGATCTGAGAGAAAAATAACTTTTCTGGACTTAGGCAAAATTCATCTGAAAGTTAACCAATTTACCAGTCAAGCCTACCTTGTTAAACTTATTCATTCTCTGTATAAAGGCAGTTCGGTGTAAGCCATTTAAATCCATTAAGCAGTAATCATAAGATGAAGCCAGATCTGATCAATATTGATCTGATCAATATTTCATGACAACAAGCAAGTGGCAGCTATATATCTATAGGTATATCTGTGTATCTTTAATAAGGTACAATGCATCAAAATATGTTTTAGGATGAGCCTACCTCTTAAAAATTGCTGTTAACTATTTTTTTTTTTTTTGGTTCGTGGATCAGTGCATTGTAATGTTCCTCTCCATTTTCTTAGACCAGAAATTGATACTTTTAATGAACTAAAGTTGGTAAATTGGTACTGTAAGAATGTCCAAAAGCCTGAAATTGAACTACAGTAGACCAGTAGGCAATACAGGAGTATTCAAGTGTTTGTTCAAGTGATTCATTTGTTATATAAATCTGTATTAGAATCACAGACCATTAAAACTTGGAGTTTTAAAGACCATGTAGTCCAGCTGCCTGTATTCCAAGGAAGAAATAGAGTGAGGAACAGCAGTGACTTTCCCTGGCTTATGTGGCTCCCTGGTGGCTTGAAAGGTAGAAGCTGACTCTCAACCTCAGAAAGGCTAGGCACTCACTCTCCTAAGGAGTCTTTACCACTGAATAGTGATTTCCAAAAGTGTTTGTGTTATGTCCCTTCCCTGTGGCTTCCTCCCTGCCTCAGTGGCCTTCCCTGTAGAGGCCTTAGAAGTACATACAGTGTATACATAAACATTATCCTTGCCTTGTAGAGAACATAGTATAGTTACAACAAAAAGGAGGACAGGAATGCAGTGCATTCTAAAGTGCTGTAGAAATTGTAGTTATTAACTTATGTAATGCAGGAGGAGTTGATGTTAATATAGGGATTGGGGACACTTAATACCACTCTCTCTCCTGCTGAAATTATAATTTATAATTATGATATTTGATTTCTCCAAAGCAAACTTGATAATTATTGTACCGAGTTATTAAAACAATGATTCCCTTATCTAAATAGGCTTATATTTTTATTGATTCAAACATTTGGAAAGTAGTTGAATTCTTTTTATTTCTTTTTACGGCAAGTCAATATTTAAGTCAACTGACTGTGAGCTATTTCAGTTATATAAAGAGATCTTTAATTGACTTGATCATTTCCTCCACACTTTATTAACTGAATTTTTTTTGTCGTTTTAGGAGATGTGGAATTCTTTCACATTTGTCTGTTAACATCCTTTCAAAATGTACACCCTAGCCAATTATCCTACCACTTATAGTCTTTTATATACTGAAAACACAAATAGAGAAGTAAGGTTAATTATGACTTTACTGTGAAAGGAGTATATATTTCTCAATTAAATTTTGGATCTGTATTTGAAACTTTTTTACTAAAACAGAAAAATTCGCATATTTTGTAAACCCACATAGTTTTCATCAAGGACCAAATTTATGTAATTAAAAATAGATTTTTGGGCCTGGGGATGTAGTTCAGTGGCAGACAGCCTGCCTGGCAAGTGCAAGGTCCTGAGTTTGATGCCCACTACCAAAAAAAAAAAAAA